CTAAAACCATCTCTATCTATTGGACCGGATGGAATATGTGCCTACTTCTTAAGAAAGCTATCCACTGCCATAGCCAAACCTCTAAGCATAATCTTTGAAAAATCTTTCAGGACCAGCTCCTTGCCTAACCTATGGTCACAAGCCACAGTCATCCCCATCTTCAAAAAGGGAGACCCAAGCCTAGTTGAAAATTACAGACCAATCTCCTTATGCTGCGTCACCTGTAAAGTCATGGAATCAATTATTAACCAATCCATCATCCTCCACTTAGAGACAAACAACCTACTCTCCAATAAACAATTTGGTTTCGGAAAAAAACTATCCTGTAATCTGCAACTCTTACACTGCAAAAACATATGGACAACACAACTCGACCAGGGCAAAGCAATAGACGCAATCTACATAGACTTCTGTAAAGCCTTTGATTCAGTGGTACACAACAAACTACTCCTAAAAAATAAAATCCTATGGTATCTCTGGACACCTGCATAACTGGATAGAAGCATTCCTGTCAAACAGACAACAAATGGTCAAAATTGAGAACGTCCTATCAAATTCTGTACCTGTCAATAGTGGTGTCCCCCAAGGCAGTGTTCTAGGACCAACTCTCTTCATACTCTACATAAATGACCTCTGTGATCATATTAAGAGCAACTGCGTTCTTTTTGCTGATGATGTAAAGTTGTGCAATACCACAGACAATACTGCTACCCTACAAAAAGATCTTGACTATGTATCAGAATGGTCAAACAAATGGCAACGTCAAATCTCAACAATTAAATGCTCTGTCTTACATATTGGCAAAAAAAATCCGAAAATAAAATACAAGCTGAATAGTCAAGATCTTGTTGATGATCCAAGCTCTGTAAAGGACCTTGGAATACTCACCTCTAATGATCTAAGTGCTAGAGCCCACTGCAACTACATAGCCAAAAAGGCATTAAGAGTTGTTAACCTAATCCTACGTAGCTTTTTCTCTGGTAATATCACACTACTAACTAGAGCATACAAAACATTTGCTAGACCAATACTCGAATACAGCTCATCAGTCTGGAACCCGCATTACGTATCTGATATTAGCACAATTGAGAAAGTCCAGAAATATTTCACAAGAAGAGTTCTCCACTCCTCTACTCGTTGTAGAATACCTTATGCCACCAGACTTGAAATTCTAGACCTAGAAAACCTTGAATTACGCCGTCTTCAGTCTGATTTAAGCATGGTATATAAAATCATACATTGCAATGTCCTACCTGTCAATGAATACTTCAGCTTCAACCATAACAATACAAGAGCACACAATAGATACAAACTCAAGGTTAACCGCACCAAACTTGATTGCAGGAAATACGACTTCAGCAACAGAGTGGTCAATGTCTGGAATACTCTACCCGACTCTGTAGTTTCTTCCCCAAACCCCAAAAACTTTAACCTTAGACTGTCTACTATTGACCTCACCCCTTTCCTAAGTGGTCTCTAGGGGGCGTGCATAAGCGCACCAACGTGCCTACCGTCCCTGTCCTATTGTTTCTTTTATTTTTCTTTTATTTTTCTTATATGTACCCATTTCATGTATTCATAACTATGTATACACTTACCGTATTTGCCGGCGTATAAGACGACCCCCCACCACCACCAGAAACGCCCTCCAGAAATCCCCGGGGCTGCAGCGGCAGGGCGGAGTGCCAGGGGCCGTGGGAAGAGCAGGAAGGCTGCAGCCTCGGGCGGAGCGAGGCGAGCGGGATGAAGCGGAAGCGACGCAGGGGATCCGGGAAACCAGAGGCGCCTTCGCTGCGTCCAACAAGCATCCGAAAGCCGGCAGTGGATATACCGGCGTATAAGACGACCCCCCCACTTGGAGGCATGTTTTTTGGGGCAAAAAAGTCGTCTTATACGCCGGCAAATACGGTATACTTATTATCTTGTAAACAATTGACAAATCAAATAAATAAATAAAATAGACTAGACTAGACTAGACTAGAACAGAACAAAACAGAACAGGATAAATACTTTATTCCTGAGGTTAGTTCAGAAACCGTTGTCAGGTGCAAACAATCAGACGCACACAGGCAGAGTTCAAGCTGACTACTTTATTGTATTCTACCTATAATACAGGAATCTGCATAGACTGGCAGCTTTCGCCTGGGAACAACCAGATAAGGTATCAAGGCATTTAAGAGGGTCATACTTAGCCTCTTGTGTTTGATGATGATGATGAATGAATCCAGGCTAATTCCTTGCTTCAGCCCTCCTTCCACTGGGAGGATTGCTCTCCAACAACCATTGCATTGGATCATGGGTCATAGTAGAAGAAAATATTTGCAGCTCAGGTTTGAACTAAGGGTCCTCTTGCGGGCCAGGGGCCATTACCACATCACAGCCTTTTTGGAACCGGACCATGCTAGCGGAGGGCTGGTGGATATGACTGTGTGCATATATGCATGTGCACCAGTCTGCGCAAGTTGAACTGCACTAGTTGAGTTCAATACTTGGGTGGCCCAGTGCCCCTCTCCCCACCCCAGTGGGCCACCAATCTGTAAAGGTGGGGACCACTGCTCTCTGAGCTTGGTTTTTCCTGGCAGATGTTTCATGACCCATCTAGGTAACATCATCAGTGCTACAAGGAAGGAGGGTTTTCAGGGAGGAGCAGGAGCAAGGGAAGCAGGAGGAGCAGGACTGGGAGGTCCTTGAAAACTGACCTTAATTGTTTTTATGTAGATGTTTCATTAGCAAACTAGGTTACACCATCAGTTCTAGAAGAGGCTGTATAAAACAGAGAACAAGTCTTCCTCCCTTCTAGCGTTGATGATGTGGCCTAATTTGGTAATGAAATGTCTGCAAGAAAACAACCAAACTTAGAGAGCACCAAGGACTCACAGTGCTTGTCCCTATTCTCCTCTTCCTGCTCCTCCTCCTCCTCTTCTCCCTACAATTCCCCTCCTTTCCAGCATCGATGATGTTCCCCCGTTGGGTCATGAAATGTCTGCAAGAAAACCACCAAGCTCAGAGGACCCCACCAATCATTTCTCCGATTCACTCCAAACTAGAGTCTTATTTTTCTCCCTATGGGAAAACTTGCATAAACTTTGCAGACGCCCTACCTCTCCCCTTGCATCCCCTTCATCGGATTCGGAGGAAGATTCCTGAGCAGTTGAGGAAGGTCTGGACCTGCCGTGCCGTGGAGACGCCGACGGTGTTTTTGATTCATCATCACTGTCAGCCCCAGGAACTCGGAGGGAAGCTGAAATGGAAGGGAAAGGGAATAAAAACTGTTGTCAGGGAGACATTCCATTATTTTTGAACAATTCCAATCTTAAAACATGCTCAGGTGTATTTTGTTCAGTCTTCCCAATTTCTGTCCCGTAGACATGCCAGACTTTCTCCAGATTTATAGGCTATTGAAGAAAGTTCTCAGCAAAGAATTAAGTACAGAACACAGGTAATCCTTGACTTACCACAGTTCATTCCGTGACCATTCCAAGTCACAAAGCACCAGTAAACAAGACAAGAAGCAATGGATGAAAAATAATCAAGGAGAGAAGCAACCTGGAATTAAGGAGAAACTTTCTAACAGTGAGAATAATTAACCAGTGGAACAGCTTTTCTCCAGAAATTGTGGGTGCACCATCACTGGGGGGCTTTTAAGAGGAGACTGGATAGCCATTTGTCTGAAATGGTATAGGGCAGTGATGGCTAACCTTTTCATCCTTGCGTGCTGAAAGTGTGTGTGCGTGCGCACGCACACGGTTGCCTGCACCCATGATGCAATGTGCGCGCAACCCCCTGCCCCTGGCATGCGTGCCTCAGCATATGTGCATGCACCCCCATGCATGCGCCCTGCACGTGCACGCATCTCCCATGTGCGCCCTGCCCCCTGCGCATGCATGGCAAATAGCAGACAATCTGCTGGCTGGCAGGAGGCGTGCGTGCATGCACAGTGGATCTCTTCCGGGCGACGGCTCACGTGCCGGCAGAAATGGCTCTGTGTACCACTTCCGGCACGCATGCCATAGGTTCGCCATCACAGGCATAGGGTCTCCTGCTTGGGCAGGGGGGTACACTAGAAAACCTCCCAGGTTTCTTCCAGTTCTAATCCGATTGCAAGAGCAACGAAACAAGTGACTTAGACCACTTTTCACACTTACAAATGTTGCAACAACCCCTTGGTCATAGGACCAAAACTCAGACGATTGGCAAATGTTTTATATTTATGAAGGTTGCAATGTCCTGGAATCATGTGATCCCCTTTTGTGACCTTCTGACAAGCAAAGTCAAGGAGGGAGACAGATTCACCTAACAACCATGTTACTAACTTAACAACTGCAATACTTCACTTAACAACTGTGGCAAGAAAGGTTGTAAAATAGGACAAAATTCACAACATCTGTTCTACTTACCAATGGAAATGTTGGGTTCAATTGGGGTCTCTATGTACAACATACATGATAAAAGAGGAGTTGGAAGGGACCTTGGAGGTCTTCTAGTACAACCCTGCTCAAACCCTATAAGATTTCAGACAAGTGGCCGTCTAATCTTTTTTTGAAAAACTCCAATGATGTAGCACCCACAATTTCTGGAGGCAAGTCCTTCCACTGATTAATTGTTCTCACTATCAGGGAATCCCTCTTGAATTCCAGGTTGCTTCTCTCCTTGAAGAGTTTCATCCATTATTTCTTATCCTGCATTTAAATGCTTTGGAGAATAGGTTGGCCCCCCCCTCTTTTATGGCAGCCCCTCAAATAGTGGAAAACGCTGTCATGTCATCCCTGGTCCTTTTCTTCATTAAAGTAGACATTCCCAGTTCCCTCAATTGTTTCATTATAGGCAGGGTTGGGATTCAAAAATCCCAGCAACTGGTTCTCTGCTGGGTGATTGCTGGGTGGGCGTGGCCATGGTGCGCGTGGCCTACCAGAACTTCCGGGAGGGCTGTGTTTTGCCTTTCCCAGAGTCTGGAGGCTTCCCTCGGGCCTCTGGGAGGGTGAAAACTGCCTCCCTTGGCCTCCGGAAGCCGGAAACAGGCTCATTTCCGGACTTCCAGAACATCTAATTCAGTCCATTTTTTGCCCTCTGTGCAGACCCTGCACTTACCTGCATCCAAAATGGGCAGTGTGGAGACTCCTGGGAGGGGAGGGGAGGGGAAGGCAGGGGAGGGGAGAGCCAGCTAGTTGGTTCAACTATCGGTTGATATAAATTTAACATCCAGCTAAAACCAGGCCGAACCAGCTGAATCCCACCCCTGATTATATGGCTTTTGCCACCAGTTTCTTGATCATCTTTGTGCTCACAAGCAAACATTTCTCATTGGAAATCTAAGGGATTGTTCTAATAAGGTAACAAATTTTGGCCTTATATCCCTGTCTATCAATCTGATTTAACGTCCACCCAGGTAATTTCCCCTCCCCCGCCAAATAGTCCTGTCTCAAACTTACAGCCTCAAACCCAATATTTACAAGTGTTTTCCTGCATTTCGTTCACTTGAACCGGTATTACCTTGACTTATCTTTGCAGATACAATTTCCGTGATCTGAGATGTCAGTTTCTGCAGAAATTCCTCGGTTCCCACTTCAGTTAGAGAAATCTGACTCTGAACTGTGTCACCTTCCATGTGCTGTCCTGGTAAAGAAGAAAGAATATGGTGCTTGGTCACAGACAAGACAGCCTAGTGGTGAAGGCATCAAGCTAGAAAATGGAAGAGACTGAATTCTAGTCCCCGATTAAGCATGAAAGCTGGCTAGGTGACTGTGGGCCAATCACCAGGAGACAGGGAGTTCAAGTCCCATCTTAGGCATCTAAACCAGCTAGGTGACTTTGGGCCAATCACTAGGAGAATGGGAACTGTAGTCCCATTTTAGGCATGAAAGCCAGCTGGATGACATTGGGCCAATCACCAGGAAACAGTGAGTTGTAGTACTGCAGCAAAGGCATGAAAATTGGCTTGGTAACTTTGGGCCAGTCCCTCTCTCTCAGCCCAACCCATCTCACAGGGTTGTTATTGTGGGGATAATAGGAGGAGGAAGGTATGTTAGATATGTTTGTCATCTTGAGTTATTTGTAAAAATAATAAAGGTGGAATATAAATATAAAGTTTGAATCATTGATTTGATTCTGAAAAATCATTCTGTTTATTCCAATTCAGTTTATGTCCAAGACCATATTGGGTTTATGCTGTTGATCTGATTTAGAGATTTTGTAATATCATCTCTGAACAGACCTACAATTTCCAAAGCCCTACTGTAGATCTGAACAAGCAAAACATGTTTCACCTCGAACCATTATTTATGTTTTATTATTACAAAATGAAATAATCTAAAGTGTGAGAGACAAATTTTAAATTTATCTTTTTAATGGAAGATTGATTATTATTAGAGAAGACTCTATGAAATAGAAACCAGAGTTACATGAAAATATTGCACATTTCAAAATTACCATATTTAAACTTTTTATAGGTTTTCCTACCTTTTCTGACTTCAGAAGCTTGAGCTCTGAAAAAAAGGAAAAACAAGTCTCATTCTTTTTCTAGCCATTTTTCCTGACCAATATTGAATCTGGAAGCCAAAGTGGATAGAGGGCAGTGGGGCTGTGTGTAAGCATTCATTGCTTATTGAGGAAAGAAGGAAGGGAGGGGAGGAAGGAAGGAAGGGAGGGAGGAGAGAGAAAAGGATGAAGGAAAGGGGAAAGAAAGGAACAAAAAAAGGAAAGGGAAAGGGGAGGGAGGGAGGGAGGGAGGGAGGGAGGGAGGAAGGAAGGAAGGAAGGAAGGAAGGAAGGAAGGAAAAAAAAGGAGGTTTGGGAAGGTAAGAAGGAAAGAAAGAAGGAAAGAAGGAAGGAATCCTCTAAAGGGATAATTTAAGCAAATAATTGTTCCAGCATTCCATGGCATAATTAATAAAAAACATTTTAAAGTGTTTCAATGTTTTTTTTAAAATCACCACAACTATCTTATAGTCAGGAGTGGGATTCAATTTTTTTAACAACCAGTTCTGTGGGTGTGGCTTAATTGGTAGGCTTGGTGGTCATGTGACTTGGTGGATGTGGCTTGGTGGTCATGTTATTGGATGGGTGTGGCCAACTCAACATCACTCACATCGAGGCACCATCCCCTCGCCTGGCCTCTCGTGACTGTGGGGATGCTGCAACAGTCATAAGTGTGAAAAATGGTCATAAGTCACTTTTTTCAGTGCCACTGTAACTTTAAATGGTCCCTCCACACAAGCAAAGTACCAGCAAAGGAGGGGGAAAAAACTCCTGAGACGTTCCTGAGACAGGAAGTCTAGTCCTGCTAAGAATGTAATAAGGGTTAACGGAGAGGCAGTTTCTGTCAGCAACACCAGAATGTTTCCTTCCTGCCTCCCTTACAGGATTAGGCCAGTAATTTCTTCTAACAACCGGTTCTCCAAACTGCTTAGAAGGTTAACAACCGGTTCTAGCGAATAGGTGCGAACTGGTAGAATCCCACCCCTGGTTATAATCGTTGAACAAGTCAGCCTTTCAATGTCATCCCAAATAGAGATACACTATACATCTCTGGGCAACATTGATTAAAATGAGCAAAGAAATATTATTCATAGTCTTTTTCTTTCATTGCTGTCTTCATAATTGCAACCAGCAAGTTAGTGCAAACGTGCTTTTAAAGAAACTTCAATGACAGTGCATTTTACACCCCAGCAGGAAGAAAGGGTCCTTTCCTACTTAGGTTTTGGTTCCCAGCAATTCAGCAATGTGAAGGATTGGGAACTCAAGATTTTTGTACTGGATTAATTAAAATAATAATGTTATGAGCATCATATGTTTTCATTAATATCTGGCCAGGCCATGACATGCTTACCCAATTGATGTCATGATGGCCTCTGTCACCATCACACGCTCCTGAGTCAGAGATTCAGTCTCTTTCACTGCAAAAGAAGGAAGCACTGATGATGTTACCTAGTTTGGTAATGAAATGTCTGCAAGAAAACTACAATGCTCAGAGAGCACCAAGGACTCCATAGTTACTGTCATCCTCCTCCTCCGTTCCCATTCTCTTCCTCCTGCCCACAAACCCATCTGTCTTCCATATGTATAGGACATGATAGGTGTATGTAGGTAGAGGGGTGGATGGGAGAAAGGATGGATGGATGGATGTGTGAGAACCAAATAAGGGCCTACTGTTTTATATGAATCGATGAAGCCCCAAGGTATAGTTATGAACCAAAGTATGGAAAATTTTAAAAGTACAAAGGAAATATTTGTAAGAATGTCAGAATGTTACTGGAACATGTTTTTGAAACTGAAGGAAGTTTGGAAAACAATGGTTGCGACTAAAGGAAATGTAGGAACTGAGTGTAGCAGGTGCAGAAGGGTTTCAGATATATCTGGACACATGTTTAAACCTGATGGTCAGAAAAAGAACAGGGAAGTGAAATTATGAAATGAGGGTGGACGTTGGAAGAAAAGTATAAAAGATGTGGATAAATGTCAGAACAGGGCCCAGTGGCCGTAGCTGTCTTCTTGACTTGCAATGTCTTTTGAACCCCATTGCAATGGCTTATTGGTGTAAGTGTATTATTACTGTTATGCTTTTACCTGTTTCTTATATATGTCTCTTCTGTATTAAATTGTTGGAATAAATAAACCTCTGATTCCAAGGCAAGAATCTTTGTTTGTGGTTGCTGCCTCTGTTTCATTGCTGAATTTTTATGATAGATGGATGGATGACAAATAAAATATAGAGATATAGAGAGATAGAGAGATAGAGAGATAGAGAGATAGAGAGATAGAGAGATAGAGAGAGAGATAGATAGATAGATAGATAGATAGATAGATAGATAGATAGATAGATAGATAGATAGATAGATAGATAGATA